CGTGTCTTCGCGGGAGCCGACGTCAGGTGAGGCCGCCAACCACCTGTCAGCAGGTAAAAGGTATTGGCCCTCCTACACACATTATTCGCCATCCTAGGAACATGACGTCAGGGCAATCGTTGGATAGAAGAAAAAGCAATGCGTTCAGCAGTGTGTTTACCTCCCAAAGATTAGAAACAACCCGACTGTTCAACGGTGGGAGAAGCAGTACATTAATTTCCACCGTCGTACTATTGAGGGCTATTCTGGTACCAGGTACCAGTCTCTGGGGAATGTGCCTTTAATTCAGTATTTCTTTTTGCCCTCAAAACGACTGTACTGGGTATAAACTGCAAGTTTCCCTTCATTGTGTAGGGAAGGAGATTTAGGCTTATAGAAATTAAGTAACTTGCTCTGGGTCACGCTATACAAACGAAAGGATTGTTATAATTGACAGGGTTAATCGTTTTAGGGAGACTGGGTTTGCTTGACTCTATTTTAACTGCTGAAATCCGGATTATTATTTGGGAGGCAGTGTAGCTCAGTGCATTGTTTCCAAACTTAAATACTTAGAGAGATTAGGTAGGTCATGTCAATGGGCATAGGCAACCAGAGGTTGACAAAAGGGAGGGGTAAAGACTGAAGTGAAATTGGAAATACATTCTTTTTTACTTTTTTTTTTTTTTAACTATCACTAACATAGGTCTCGCTATGTTACCCAGGCTGATCTCGAATTCCTAGCCTTAAGCAGTCCTCTCGCCTTGGTCTCCCAAGGTGCTGAGATTACTGGTGTGAGCCACTGCTCCTAGCCTTGTTTTTATTTTTATTTTTTAGAGAAGGGGGCTTGCTATGTTGCTCAAGCTGGATTACAGTGGTATGATCATAGCTCATTGCAGCTTTGACCTCCTGGCCTCAGCCTCCTGAGTAGCTAGGGCTACAGGTGCATGCCACCATGCCTGGCTAATTCTTTAATTTTTTGTAGAGACAGTCTAGTATGTTGCTGATCTCAAACTTCTGGCCTCAAGCAGTCCTCCTGTCTTGGCCTCCCAAAGTGCTAGGATTACAAGCTAGAGCCACAGCACCCGACCACATCCTTTTTTTTTTTTTTTTTAAAGTGGGGCAGGTGCTACTCATCTTTGGTACTGTTGGATTTTACGTGAAAACTTCCAACTTTTATATATTAGCAGATGTATTACTTTTCTCTTGTTCTAAATAAATTACCACTAGCTTACTGTTTTAAAACAACAAAAATGTATTATCTTACAGCTATGGAAGTCAGAAGTCTGAAAGAAGTCTGGTGGACTAAGATCAAGGTGTTCCTTCTGGAGGCTCCAGGGGACAATCCATTTATTTGCCTCTCTCAGCTTCTAGAGGCCACCTTCACTCCTTGGTTTGTGGGCCCTTCCTCCATCTCCAAAATCAGTAATGGTGGGTTGAGTGTCACATCACATTGCTCTGATTTTGTTAGTAGTTTTATCTCTGTGACTCTTTTTTATTTTTTGAGTTGGAGTCTCACTCTGTCGCCCAGACTAGAGTGCAGTGGCCACTCCCGGCCACCGCAGCCTCGACCTGCTGGGCTCCAGCAATCCTTCCACTTCAGCCTTCCAAGTAGCTGGAATTACAGGCATGTGCTACCACGCCCGGTTGATTTTTTTATTTATTGTAGAGATGAGGTCTCACTGCCCAGGCGGGTCTCGAACCCACGGGCTCAGGCAATCCACTCACCTCAGCCTCCCAAAGTCACGGGATTACAGGCTGAACCACCAAGCCCGGCTTCTGTGACTCTTCTATTCCTCCTCCACTCTTGAGGACTCTTGTGATTACATTGGGCCCATTCAGGGAATCCAGGCTGACTTTCTTTCTTTTGAGTGGAAGTTTCAATCTGTTGCCCAGGTTGGAGTGTGGCGGCACACTCACACTTCCCATAGCCTTGATTTACTGGGCTTGGGTGATTCTTCCACCTCGCCTTCCAAGTAACTGGAACCACAGGTGTGTGCCACTATGCCTAGCTAATTTTTTGATTTATTGTACAGATGAGGTCTCGCCAAGTTGCCCAGCCTTGTCTTGAACCCTTGGACTCAGGTAATCCTCTCGCCTTTGCCTCCCAAAGTGCTGGGATTACAGGCATGAGCCAACGCACCCGGCTCAGGATAATTTTCCCATCTGCAAAGTCCCTTTGCCTTGTTAGGTAACTGTGATATTATAGAATATACTTTTTCTTTTTTTTTTTAGTTGGAGTTTCACTCTGTTGCCTAGACTGGAGTGTGGTGACACGCTCCCGGCCACCACAGCCTCGACCTGCTGGGATCCGGCGATCTGTCCGCCTCAGCCTTTCAAGTAGCCAGAACTACAGGCGAGCACTACCATGCCCGGCTAATTTTTTATTTACTTCTTGTAGAGACGAGGTCTCGCCAAGTTGCCCGGAGGGGTCTTGAACCCACAGGCTCAGGCAGTCCACTCACCTCGGCCTCCCAAAGTGCTGGGATTTCAGGTTGAGCCACCGAACGGGGCCTGTAGAATATACTTTGATCATTGCCCCATTTCCTGGCATCAACTTCTAAAATTCTTGTATTCTTCCAAATGATGTGTCTTTTGGGATACTGACGTGTTGACTGATGGCTGGCAGTCCCTAGGTAGCTCAGGATGGAGCTGGTCACTGGAAAGTCCAAGGCAGGATTAGAGGCTTGGGACTTTCAGTCCATCCCCACCTCTGGGGAGAGGAGAGGGACTGAAGGTCAAGTTGATCAATAATTCCTATGTGATGAACTCTCCATAAAAACCCGGAAGAACTGGGTTCAGAGGGCTTCTGGTTAGCCGAGTATGGGAGCTCCACGGCCCCTTCCCCATGCTTTGTCCTATGCATCTTCTCATTTGTTTCCTTTGTAAACATGTTTCCTTGAGTTCTGTGGACCGCAATGTGTGGGATCTGGCGGTATCTCCATGTGGTTAGCATTATGCCGCCTGCCAAGGAGGTGAATTCTGGTTTTAACAGTTACTACTGGCCAAACAAAATGCATCCATTACTTGGAAGGCTGAAGTGGCAGAACTGCCGGAGCCCAGCAGGTTGACGCCGGGGTGACTGTGAGCATGCCACTACTCTCCGACCTGGGCGATGAAGTGAGACACCAACTCAAAAAACCAAAACAACAACAACAAAAAAAACATCCACAATGGGGAGGCGTCTATGGTTGCCTTCAGCATGGTGCTTGGCACGGGCTCTGGAGTCTAACTGCCCAGGGCTAATGTGGGCTCAGCCACTTCCTAGGCTAGCTTCGGTATTCACTTCAGCAAAGGGAGATTGGCGATGCCGCCTCCCTAATCAGATGGTTCCAAAAGTAAGATACTCACACGAAATATTTAGCCCAGTGCCTGTCACAGTGTGCAATGAACATGAGCTATTATTCATTTCTTGAGACCCTACCCAATTGGGCAGCAAATTCCTTCGACTGGAGAGGCCCTGGCTCTGCATTGATTGCTGTGTCTGTTCCCAAACTGCACTTAAACGGCCATGAATACATAACAGAGGAGAGTTTGGTGAGCCCTCAGCCAGTCCTCTCATTTCCTTAAGCAGAAGCCTCTGTCTGGGAGGGCCACAGGGTCCAGCCTTAGCTGGTCCCACGTTAGCTGGATAATACCAGTGTCTTTCTTACTCACTCCACTCACACATCCCTGCCAAGCGCCAGGGAGGGCTGTGAGCCTGTGAGAAACATCCCTGGAATCTGCAGGGCCTCTGCAGACCAATGTGGGCATTTGGGCAGTGGGTAGAAGGACCCCTGCAGTGTGTGTATGTAAGGAAAGATGCCTGGTTTTCTCAATGGGCGAGAAAACCAGGATCATTACACTTCTAAAGACTCATCAGGGAAAGATGCCTAACCAGTGACAATGGGTGAGAAAACCAGGATTGCCACCATCCTCCAGACCAGTGCCTCATTCTAGGATAACTGAAGGGTCTCTGAAATTTCTAAATTAAATTAAATCTAAAAACTTGCAGTTTTTCATGTAAGATGACCTACAGATTGTAGACATATTACATTAGTGTTTAGCCCCCTTTTCTGACTGTATTTATATATTCTGTATATTAAGCTTCTTTTTGATTTTTTTGCTTTTTGTTTGAGTCAGTCTCACTGTCGGCCAGGCTGGAGTGCAGTGGCACACCCATGGTGGCCACTAGCCTCGACCTGCTAGGCTCAGGTGATCCTTCTGCCTCAGCCTTCCAAATAGCTATAGCCAGACACATGCCATCATGCCTGGTTAATCTTTTAAAATTTTATTTATTGTAGAGATGAGGTCTCACCAAGTTGCCCAGGCTGGTCTCGAATCCCTGGGCTCAGGTAATCCTCTCACCTCTGCCTCCCAAAGTGCTGGGATTATAGGCATGAGTCACTGTGCCCAGCTCTCTTTTTGATTTTTATCAAAAGTAACCAATGATCTATAAGCAGACTATACATGTAAAAAAAAAAAAGAAAAAGAAAAAGAGCCGACGTACCAGTTTAAAGATTTTTATTCACAAACTGGTGTTTTCTTCTCTGCTTTGGCCACCGACAAACTCCTTGGTGAATTTCCAGGCTTCTAGCAACTGAAGAGGCACTTGTCCATTCTCATGTAGTGATCTTACTCCAGCTCTGCTTTGCTATGGTCTTTTTTGTCTTCTCATCTGCCCAGATTTCCTCAGCTTTTAATTTTATAATTGTAACATGTGTTTTCATAACCCCAAACTCTCTCTGGAACAAGATATGCAATAGATTTTAAAATCTTTTATAAAAGGACATGCTATTCAGTGATGATCACTGAAAGATTTTTCATCAGAAGTACCTGATTTACCAGTTTCTCAATATCTTTATTCACAAGTCAGTATAAAATTGGTATGAATGCCACACATATGACAAGACAGATTATGAAAGTATATTTACAATAAGAACATAATTTTGTATAACTGGATCACTGAATACACACTCTCCTGTATCAACTGATTTAGTGGACCCAACTCTACCCTGTGAATAGACCAATTTTGTGATTTTCCTAAAAAAAACGTTTGAGTAGGATGTAGTTTCATGAGTAGGATGTAGTTTCTTGATGCTTCTTTCTGTGACCCAAGGGTTAAGAAAAAATATCTGGAAACCAGAAATTGGAACCAGATTTCCCCAGGATTCAGGAGAGGCAGGAGTGACTAACAAGATACGAGACATGATGTCTAGCAGTCTCAAGCAGGGAACCATATGCTTAACTTCAGAGCATTCAGGCCCTCAAGGTCAAGTGTGGAACCACATACATACCCCGTCACATCGCAAATGCCCACAACTGCTACACTTAGCAGGATATGGGGGAGAGGGGGCACATCATGGAGGAGGAAAGAAATCAGTCCCATCAATTATATGAACATATCTAAGTTTTCAATACCAAGGACGAACTTCTAAAATACAGGTTTACAGACAAGCTATACAACTAGCTGCTAGCTGAAATGCATGTGTAGTAAAGTGAGGAAGCTGACGTGCTTATAAAACCATGTGTCTTATTTATCTCTAATTTTAAAATAGTTCATTTTCTTCTTGGGTATGCAAGTGAGCAGTGGAGAAAGTGGCGCATCTGCAATACCTGAAATTTAAAAAAAGGAAAAAAAATTAAAATAATCACAGGGGCATAGGCGTGAGTCAATTTACAAATGGTCAAGGTTAGGGTGGATCATGGATCTCCCCTCCACCAAGCACAGAGGCAGGAATGCAGGAAATACAGGGCATGATGGGATTGCAGAACAGAGCAGTGGGAGTGCTCAGAGGTAACTGGTCTGCAAAGACCGGGTCCAATGAAGTATGTTGTCAATTTTTCCAGCTTGTAAAATAAGCTGATCACTCACCAGCTGGGGCTAAGGATTTTAATGCATCCAAAAGATGTGGGCTAGAGAACTTTATTAGGCACCGGAGGGGTTCTTTCCTCTCAGCCAAGATGCCCCCATTTACGTCACTTTTGAACTTCGTTTCAAGCTGTCAACAAACATATTAAGAAATGGCTATTAAATATATCAGTTGGAATGATAAAATATAATGAAATCAGATTATATATTTCAATAATTCTTGTCATTGAGAAGTACAGGGATTGATGGGGGCAAGGACCATTAATTTGAGAACTACAAACATGGAGGGCAACCAGCATTTAAATAATACCCAACATAAATGCCAGCATACGCAGTGCCCAACACACAGAAGATGCTGAATGACAGTTCTACCCCTAGGCGCTCTTTCCAGTTTGCATTCTCAATAGAAAATTAGTGCTGTCTTTTGTAATCTGTCATTTCAATGTAAAAATACCATGTCTTTTGAGTCACTACTGAGATTTCTTTTTAACTTCTTATTATGGGAGATTTCCAAAATATACAAAGGCAGGGAGCATAGTACAAGTCCTCCGTGCATAGCATCAACTCCTGGCAACTCTTCTTTCTTTTTTTTTTTTTTGAGTCAAAGTCTCACTCTGTCACCCAGGCTGGAGAAACAAACAAACAAACAAAGAAACAAACAAAAAACCTGAATCCCAATACCATTAGTATACCTAAAAGAATTCCTTAATAGTGTCAAATATCCATGTAATGGTACTTCAATAGGTACCAGATTCTAAGTTTCAACTTTTTTACATTTTTAAAAATTTAAGTGATCCTTAAGTTTAGAGGCGATGTGCTAAAATATTTGGTGGATGAGTAATATCTGCAACTAACTTGTTCAGAATAAAGAGAGAGAAAACAAAATAAATGTAGCAAACTGTTAACAACTGGTGAAATGAAGAGAAATGGATGTTCATTGGAATATTCTTGCACGTTTTCTGAAGGTTTGATGTTTTTCAAAATAGAAAAGGTAAGGAAAAACCAGTAGCAGGTATGAACAGATGTGCACCTTGGCTTACAGAATGAGCCATTCTGAGGTGTGTGTAAATGGAAGTTTTGCACATCATGTCTTTTGTCTCCCAGACAGTGGCTCCCCCGCTTTAGAATCAGCTTAAGGGCTCGTGGAAACAGACTGCTGGGTCCCACCGCCCCTGACCCAGTAGACTATGGTAGGGCCAAGAATCTGCATTCTTACCCGTTCCTGAGTGATGCTGATACTAATTTAGGGACCACACTTTGAGAACCACTGTTCTAGATTTTAAGCTGTTTAAAGGAACCTGCCACTAAGGGAATCCAACTTGAAAGGTGTCAATCGACTTCTACCACTAAAAACAAAGCAAACCAAACAGGCTTGGCTATGTGAGCAGATCAATGTGCTCACAATTTAAAGTATGGACTGTAGCTACAGAAAGGCTAAACAGAAATACTTTCAATGGAGCATTTGAGGGGAGGAGGGTGTTTTGAGCATGAGCATGGACTCAGATGAGGGTGATCATGACTACACTTTTCTAGTGATGGCAATGGGTTTAAACCCCTGTAACTCCTACCCTGGCCTTCCTGTGGGCAGCAACACTCTTCTAGAAGGATCTGCGTTTGTAGGACAGTCTAGGTTACTGTTGTTTCTTCATGTGATGCCAGCTGGGTTATGTAATGACTTACTTATTCATTCTTTTATTCAATAAGTATTTATGAGCACTTACTATGTGCCAAGTACTGTTCTAGGTGTGGATGGGCTAGAAAGGTATACCCAACAATTTTTTCCCCCAAATATACAGATGACAGCCAGTTATACATGACTGGATTTACATGTAAGATAAAATGAAAAGGCCGAATCACAATTTCCAAAGGTCATCTTTGTTGACAGAAGAACTTAACTCATACATTTAATATATAAAATTTACATGATAAATGAAAAAAACCCAGTTTCTTAGATTTGTTTTCCACTTAGGGTTTTTGTTTCCATTTTAAAGATGTTGATAACTTATAGTTAGTGTTTATTTCAATGTCCTACCTTATACTGTGCAAATTCTAGTTGTGGTTGAGGATAGTCTCCAAAACTCTCTTGAGTTATTCTTTGTACTCTCTCTTTTTCTACTCTGTTTTCATGAATGATCCTTGAATCTATTAGAGATAGAAGAGTTCAAATGAAACAGCCATTAGGATACATTTTATCCCTAAATTAACCTCTTTCATTCCTAATCTTTCTTTTTTTTTTTTTCTGAGTTGGAGTCTCACTCTGTCATCACCCAGGCTGGAGTGCAGTGGCACGCTCATGGCCACCGCAGCCTCGATCTGCTGGGCTCAGACGATCCTTCTGTCTCAGCTAGAACTACAGGCGTGCGCTACCACACCCAGCTAATTTATTATTTATTGTAGAAATGAAGTATTGTCAAGTTGCCCGGGCTGGTCTCGAAACCTCAGGCTCAGGCAATCCACTCGCCTTGGCCTCCGAAAGTGCTGGGATTACAGGCTGAGCCACTGAGCCCAGCCCATTCCTAATCTTTCAAGTTGGATAATTTAAAAATAATGCTTACTGTTTCTTCTATTGATTGTAATAATTTCTTAGTGTAGAAAAGCTGAAAAGTACAGGTTGATAAAAGAAAAGATAAAAATCAGCCATAATTCTATCCCTCAGAGGTTTAAGTACTATTAACATTTTAGTATATTTTTGTCTAGTTCTTTTTACAGTGAAAATAAAAATGAATTATGTTTTATATATATGTCTCTCTCTGTGTGTGTGTGTGTGTGTGTGTGTGTGTGTGTGTATGTATATATGAGGAGGGACCTCAAAAAAAACCCGGAATTTATTTATTAAAAAATGTGTATTTATTCTTACATGTTCAAACTTCAGTCCCCTTCAAAGTACTCTTCATTTGATGCAATGCACCTTCTGAGACACTTTTTCCACTGCTTAAAACAGTTTTTGAACTTGTCAATTTTGATGCCTTTTAGTGCTCCTGCTGCTTTTTGTTCCACCTCTTCCACATCGATAAAACATTTCCCTTTGAGGACTTTTTTCATCGGGGAAACAAAAAGTCACTTTGGGTGAGAGTGGGTGAATACACAGGGATCATGCAGTTTTTGGTCAAAAATTGCTGAACACTCAGTGTGGTGTAGGCAAGTGTGTTTGTAAATCACCCATCACGAAATGGGGAAACACGTTGAAAGAATCTCCCAACAAATTCACTGAAGCTGAAACAGAGTCTGTCACAATGATGCTAGCTGGAACACTGATGCTGATAGGACCCTAGAGCACTTAGCTAGAGGGGGGAGCCTGTACTACAAGGGACCTGTCCTCCAAAAGTTTTTTGGGAGGCTCCCCATATATGAAAGAGAGAGCGAGACCTCAAATTCCTGACCTCAAGTGGTCCTCCTGCCTCAGCCTCCCCTAGTAGCTGGGATTATAAGCAAGAGCTACCACACTTGCACACCTGGCCTCATCTATGTATTTCTTAAACTGGAATCAAAATACAATTTTGCATCGTGCTTTCTTTACTTAACATGAGATCAATGGTAGGTCCGATGCCACTGGAAACTCATAAAAATCTTTAGTTTATAACAACTGTACCATTTCATTTTCTTGCCAAATAGCTACTAAGAGATAGGTCAGTTTTCAGTTTCTATACATTTATATTTTACCCCACTACTTTTCTGAACTTTCTGACTCACTATAGTAGTTCCATACTCTTATTGTCTCGGGTTTTCTGGGGAGAGACTCATGCCATCTGTGAGCAGCAACACAATCATGATGCTGAATACTCAAGAAGTGTATCTAGGGCGTCAACAGCACTGTCTGAGGGTTCTAGACTCAGACATACCTGGATTTCACTTCTGGCTCTGCCACTTTGCCTAGGAGAGTCACCAAGCCTCCCTGAAACCCAGCTTCCTGATGAACAGCGCTTACTCATGGGACTGCTGTGATGATTAAGGAAGTAACACATATGAATATCTTAGCTTGGTGCCTGGCACACAAGAAATGTTTAACCATCAGCTAATTTTTGCTTTTTGTTGTTACGGTTTTGTTGTTATTAGTCTAGTAAATCCTAAAGGAGACTTGCGGTAGCTTAGTTTTCTCTATCTATATCTATCTATCCATCTGTCTATCTATCTATCTATCTATCCGTCTGTCTATCTATCTATCTATCTATCTAATCTATCTATCTTAGCTGGAGTCTCACTCTGTCATCCATGCTGGAGTGCAGTGGCATGCTCATGGTCACTGCAACCTCAACCTGCTCATGGCCACTGCAGTCTCGACCTGCTGGGCTCAGGAGATCCTTCCACCTCAGTCCTCCAAGTAGCTGGAACCACAAGAGTACAACATCACGCCTGGCTAATTTTTCGATTTATTGTAAAGATGAGGTCTCACCAAGTTGCCCGGCTGGTCTCAAACTCCTGGGCTCAGGCAATCTTCTTGCCTCTGCTTCGCAATCCCAAATGCTGGGATTACAGGTGTGAACTATTATGCCCTTCCAGTTTTCCTCCTTTAATAGATATTTAATTTTCAATTTTTCTGAAAGCAGTAACTACTTTTGAACAAGGATCCTAGTACATATAGGTTTTACTGAGTGACAGAAATCTGTAAGAGAATGCTGTACTTCCATAATTCAGTTTTATATTAAAACACACATACTATTTATACCTAGTGCAAGCCTTCTTTCCTGTAGTGGTAACGTAGAGTTGTGAATTTCAAACACCTAAAAAAAAAAAGGGAAAGGTGAGTGTTTTATTAATTTTAACATCTTGAAATACAACTATTAATTGGTTTTTATTACAAAAGTTTACCAATTCTTTACTTTTCCAATTAGAAGAGATTTGAGGCCATATCCTGGCCGAGGTGAGCATTTCTCCCTAGCAGGATGTTGACAAGGAGATTGCTGAGCCTGTAGCATGCCTTTCTATTTGAGGGACTCTGTGCTTTGTTCTCATAGAAGTGGATCTAGAAGAAGTGTAGGTGGTGAGTGCAAAGCCTGATGAATCCCAGGCAGTGTTTGCACTGTGGCGTGTTGACGACATAGCTGTTCCTTTACAACCCTAAAAAACTCACTGAGATTCCTTTGGGAAAAATAACTTTCTTGCCATGAGTCTGACTCTCTTGAACCTCTTCTCCTACTGAAGCCATTGTTTTATAATTCAGTGCTTGACAATGTGAATTTTCCTAAGAATGCAACTAACTGTCATAGCAGAATAGTTTATATCAATTTCTGGCGGCAGGAGGGGAAGGGACAACTTGGAGACAAAATCCTGACCTAATTTTTTTTTTTTTTTTTGAGTTGGAGTAGTTTTACTCTGTCACCCAGGCTGGAGTGCAGGCTCACCGCTATGCAGCCTCAACCGGCAGGGCTCAGGCAATCCTTCCGCCTCAGCCTTCCAAGTATATTATTCTATCAAGCAACAAAGAAGTATAATTAATTTTTTGTCCCATCAGTCAAGCATGTTATACAGGAGTTGGAATTAAAGGGGAAAGCCCTGGTTAAGTCCCACAGTGTATTTCTTTGTTAAAATTATTTCAAAGTCTTACTTCCTTTTAATGACAAGAATGGATCTGTCCTTTTCACAGGCTCAGGTGTATTTTCTCCTTGCATGGCAAATGTCTGCTCATGCGTTCAGACTCATGCAAGTGTACTGTTAATGCTCTGTGTATGTCTTTACACCCTTAGAGAGGTTATAGTTATGTATTGTCATATGTTCTAAGGAGAACGAAGCCTATAGTTCCAGCTACTTGGAAAGCTGAAGCAGAAGGATCACCTAAGCCCAGCAGGTAGAGGCTGTGATGGCTGTGAGCGTGACACTGCACTTCAACCTGGGCAACAGAGTGAGACTCCAACTCAAACTCCCCCCCAAACAAACAAACAAACAAACAAACAAAAAGACAGTGTCAAGTTACTAAAGAGAAAATACATCCTAATGGGAATAGCTGATTTGGAAACTAGTATCTATAACACAGAATCCCATGACTAATGCGTGGTATAAAACACAATACAATTATAAAAAGATGATTGTGAGAAGTGATCTTGCTTTCTTTCATGTTAATTGGTTGAAAGCTTTCTCCAGTTCAGTAATATCTAGAATGGTCTCCTCTTGGTAGAGGTGGACTTTCTCACCTCCTCAGTAGCTTCTAACTCCTGTGTGAAAAAGAAAATGAAGACAACTTAGAGCGTCACTGACTAGCTCACCTGATTATACTGTTGAAAAGCAATAGCCTTCAGAGAGTCCAGGTAGCGGCTTCTCAGGTCCATTTTCACAATCTCATGGTGTTTGCTAGCAATTGTCAGGGCCTTGAAATGAAAATTAGCAAAATATCATTAGGACTATTGTCCCTGTGTTTAATCTCATAGGCTGTTGTTATTCAAAAACAAAAAAGTGGATAATGGCATTGAGATTCTCATAAATGTAGTCTTTTATACCATTTTTAGAAAAGTAATTCTGTTTTAAGTTAGGAGTTATAATAAACAATACTCAAAATGCTACTGTTTTAGAATACTGGTCTTCTAATACTATACTGATACTACCATATAAAAATGCAAATATATTACCCATCAGAGGCAGAAGTGAAAGAAAAAAAAGGAAAGGAAAAACAAAAATGTAAATATGTACAGTCTAGGGGTCGATATTGAAGGAAAAATGTGGGTAATTAAATGCAGTTTTTTTTTTTTGAGTTGGAGTCTCACTCCACTGCCCATGCAGGAGTGCAGTGGCACGCTCATGGCCACCCCAGTGTTGACCTGCTGAGCTCAGGCAATCCTTATGCCTCAACCTTCCAAGTAGCTGGAACTATAGGTGCACGCTACCACAGTAGCTAATTTTTTTGATTTATTGTAGAGATGAGGTCTCACCATGTTGCCCAGGTTGGTCTCGAACCTGTGGGCTCAGGCAATACTCTCGCTTCAGCCTTCCAAAGTGCTGGGATTACAGGCTTGAGCCACGGCACCTGGCCTAAGTTTTTGATTTATTGTAGAGATGAGGTCTCACCATGTTGCCCAGGCTGGTCTTGAACCTGCGGGCTCAGGCAATCCTCTCACCTCTGTCTCCCAAAGGGCTGGGATTACAGACGTGAACCACCACATCCAACAAAAAAATGTATATGTATTTTAAGAGATGTTATCTATATATTACTTTTTGAAGTTGAATAAATTATGGTAGCAATGTGTAGTATGACGTTTGCTCAGTGGTGCTTCTACCATTTTCTTTGACTGGCATTCATTTGATTAATGCTATCTTTTGAGCAAACATCATACTTAAAATGTGTATGCATTTTTCGGCACCCTGTATACTTACTATCTCTCTCTCTCACTCTCTTTTTTTTTTGAGTTGGAGTCTCATTTTGTCGCCCAGGCTTGAGTACAGTGGCACGCTCACAGTCACCACAGCCTTGACCTGCTGGGCTTAGGCAATCCTTCCACCTCAGTCTTCCAAGTAGCTGGAACTACAGGCACGCGCTGCCACACCCAGCTTATTTTTTTGATTTATTGTAGAGACGAGGTTTCACTAAGTTGCCCAGGCTAATCTCGAACACCTAGCCTCAGGCAATCCTCTCGTCTCGGCCTCCCAAAGTGCTGGGATTACAGGTTGAGCCACTGTGCCCAGCTATATCTCTCTCTCTCTCTCTAAATATATATATGGGGGACCCCACCAAAAATCGGAATTATTTTTTGGAGGGTGGGCTCCTTGTAGTACAGGGTTCCTCCTCTAGGTAGGTATTCTAGGAACCCATTAGCATCAGTGGACCAGTTAGCTTTGTTGTGAGAGGCTGTATTCAGCTTCAGTGAATTTTTTGTGAAGATTCTTTCAACACATTTCCCTATTTCATGATGGTTGATTTATACTGCACCTGCCCACACTGTGCTGAATATTTCAAGTGACTTTTTTTTCCCCAGATGAAAAAAATCTTCAAAGGGAAATGTTTTGCCCATGTGGAAGAGGTAAAACAAAAATAGCAGAAGCACTAAAAGACATCAAAATTGATGAGTTCAAAAACTGCTTTAAGCAGTGAAAAAGCATCTTTTTTTTTTTTTTCAGTTGGAGTCTCACTCTGTTACACAGACTGGAGTGCAGTGGCCGCTCCTGGCCACTGCAGCCTTGACCTGCTGGACTCCGGTGATTCTTCCGCCTCAGCCTTTCAAGTAGCTGGAACTACAGGCATGTGCTATCACGCCCGGCTAATTTTTTGATTATAGAGATGAGGTCTTGCCAAGTTGTCCAGGCGGGTCTCGAACCCACGGGCTCAGGCAATCCACTCATCTCAGTCTCCTAAAGCGCGGGATTACAGACTGAGCCACCGAGCCTGGCCAAAAAAGCATCTTGATAGGTATACTGCATCAAATGGAGAGTACTTTGAAGATGACTGAAGTTTAAACATGTAAGAATAAATACACAATTTAAAAAAATAAATTCTGGGTTTTTTTGGGGTTCTCCTTCGTGTGTGTGTATAGTTTTTTTTTGAGACAGGGTCTCTCTCTCTCTCTGTGGCCTAGGCAGAAGTGCAATGGTGTAATCATAGTTCACTGTAGCCTTGAACTCCTGGGCTCAAGCAATCCTCCTGCCTCAGCCTCTAGTGTGGCCAGAACTACAGGCACTCCACCATGCCTGGCTAATTAAAAAAAATTTTTTTTTCTTGTTGAGACAGGATCTTGAGTGATTCTCCCATCTCAGCCTCCCAAAGTGTTAGGATTAGAGGCTCTGTGCCTAGCCACATTTCTTATATTAAGCATTCATTACTTCTAAATTAAGAGACAATAAAGAACAGCTCTACAATATCATATGCCACATTCCCACTTGTAGATACAACACTCTATTACTTATTTTCGGAGAACAAGGATTAAATGTGGTAATTCTACATCAAATGCTTATTGAACACTTTACACTTACACAGACCTTTGAGATAATAATAAAATATTATAGCTTATCATAATTTGTTCTCTACCTGACCCAGCAAGGTTATATTGCGTGTCAGCCTGGAAGAGGTGAAGACATATGGCGTCTGGGGGTAATACACCACGTAAGTCGGTTTGTACTGCTGTGGCTTCGTATAATGTGTGCCCCAGGCGACTCGAATCCAGACCTCATTCTCTTCTGTTTCTCTGAAGCTGACTGTCACCTTATTTTAAAAAAAGATTCAGGTTTTCTAATTAATATATCATTGTGGCACTAAATACAGGTGTTTTTAGGAGTACACAATGTTACTATAACGTTATAGGTGGGTTGAGACCTAGCAGTTTTTTCTCCTACTTTTCCTGATAGTGTTTTGGAAATCTTTGGAAACATTGTTTTTAAAGACATATTTTTGCTTTTCAAAGTTTTCTGAAAGAAAATAATTTTTTCAAAAGCTACAATCAGCATACGACATCAACGTTTTTCAATCATTTCTTGGGTGTGCCCTGAACACTGTTCCTTCACCTATAAGAGTTTATGAAATAAGGCAGCCTTACAGATGAGATACCTGTTTTTTAACTTTAATTTTTAATTTTTTGCAGAGATGAGGTCTCACCATGTTGCTCAGGCTGGTCTCAAACTTCTGGGCTCAGGCAATTCTTTTGCCTCAGCCTCCCAAAGTACTGGGATTACAGATGTGAGCAACCGAGCCTGGCCAAGATACCAGTTTTATAATGATGCTTTTTTAGCAGCTGGCACAGACCTTGGGTACACTATAGAAATAGTAAGATTTCTATGTAATAATAGGCTTAAAAATATAATAATCCTAATGCCTTTATGCACTTTTAGCTCAGAAACTAAAAACTACTCTAAAGGGATGTTATATGACGAGACTACAGGAAGTTGCATTTGGTTTCCATTTCATGGATAAGATGCAGACCTTTCTAAACTGCTAATTGCCCAGGGGTCTGGAATTTCCAGCTCACCTCTGCTTTAGCTCCCTCTTGGAGCTCTGATCCTGGCTAGGAGGAATTGAGACGGGTGCACTTGGCTTGCCCACGCCTCTGTACTTCTTCCCTCTAGGGTTTTACTCCAGGAAAAGTGGGTTGTTTTGGTGCTGCTGGCACTAGCAAACTTTGCCTACTCTTTATTTAGCTGCTTTTCCAAATTCCCTGGGTGCATCAGACAAGGAAGTCTCCCCTGTCTAGGGGCCATTGGCACAGAGTGGTCTGATTTTCTGAGTGAGCAGAGCGTGAGCCCCATCAGGTACTGGCCTCTGCTGGCTTGCATGGAAGATGGTCTTATTCTGAATAGTGTCTTTGTTTCATATTACAAAAGCAAAAACACCTGTAAAATGAAGGGGGCTTCAGAGCTGCTTTGACCATTACAGGAACCACTAGCCACATGTGGCTATTACACTTAAATTCATTAAAGTTAAATAGTATTAAAAATTCAGCTGCTCAGTCACACTAGTCACATGTTAAATGTGTAGTAGCCACATGTAGCTACTAGTGTACTGGACAGGGCCAATACTGAACATTTCTATGACTGCAGAGAGCTCTTACAAGGCACTGCTTATAAGAAAGAGGCATTGGGTCCTGAATGGACACGTGGGAGGAGAGGGAAATAGTTATTACATTTAGAGTATACCTTTCGTAGGGAATAGAACAGAACAGAATATTTACTAACTGGATTTCTTACAAATAAGGACACAAGACAGTAGCAAATTTTAAGTGTACACATGTCATTAAATTGAATTTCATGTAGATTCAGGTGAATTCTATTCTTACATTTTTTAATGCTCTCTGAAGAACTTTCTTAAATGAACTTTTGAACTGATTCATATCAAAAAGGTCAACATCATCACCTGTAAAAGTGAAAAAAAAAAAAAAGAAAAATTAAGGGAACTATGTCTTCTAAAAATATATTTACAAACGAACCCTGAAACTAGGCATTTTGCATAATTGCAGAGCAGTAATGATCAAATTACACAAAGGCAATGCTAGTACCTCTGACAAGGTACCACAAATCTAATTCTCATATTTCCTAGGTGAGTAACAAATAACCACTTCATTTGGAAAGAATAGAGATTTTAGAGGAATATACTGTCATTTATTTTTAAATTGCTGAAATATCAAATATAAATGTCCAATTTAAAATGGAAACTATTACCTGGTTCTTTACTCATGCGAAAAACATCCCAAATTTTCTTATGCCGATGAACTTGAGTACCTGGGAGAGGGAAGAAGGGATTACTACTTTGTATGAGATCATAGAACTTTGACATAATATGCCTATAGTTGGATATTTTTAATAATTTTAAACTGGGGAAAATAACAGTAATTTGCAAATTAGGTTATACAGATTTGCATTCAAAATATAAACTGAACTGGATTAATTAAAAAACCTTTTTTTTCTTTTTCTTTTTGAGTTGGAATCTTACTTTGTTGCCCAGGCTGGAGTGCAGTGGTTGGATTAAATTTACTTCAGAAAAACAAATCATGGTTCCTCAATTTGACCTACCTAATATGGTTCCATTTGATTTTAGCATTTATGCTTATGTTAGCACATTCATTCTATTTCCACATAAGTCTGCTCTACATTTGTCAGGCACGACAAGGCACGCTGTGCTCCTCATGATCGACATGTGCCCAGAGCCTCTTCCTCACGGTCCTCACACACCGTCCTCCACCTCATTCTGCTCTCCTCTCAGAGTGGCCCATCCTTATCACCTCACACCCACTGCCCTGCTTCAGTCCCCATGAGAGGACCTGTCACTAGCTGATGTCACATTACATGTCTAGATGCTCATCTCTATACTGCCTGTCCCCCCGACTAGATTCTCATGGAAATGAGGGACGTGCTCCCTGTTCTATTCCCAGGCTTAAACTTAACTGCTTGGAATAAAGCAAAAACTCAAAGAGTGTGTGTATGTGTACATATATTTTATTTATTTATTTATGAGTTGGAGTCTCACTCCATCGCCCAGGCTGGAGTGCAGTGGCACGCTCACGGCACCCCAGCGCTGACCTGCTGGACAACCTGTGGGCTCAGACAATCCTCTCGCCTAGGTCTCCCAAAGTGCTGGGATTCTTGAGCTACCATGCCCGGCTTCATATATTTTTTAGAGACAGGGTCTCACTATGTTGCTCAGGCTGCACTTCACTCAACCTGCACGATATCACTTCACTTGGCTTCATGTTTGACAAATGAATGAATAAATATGTGACATAGAAAACACCCTCAGGAGTTACAAACTTAAGAGCATCCTGGAGTGGAAATGAACCTAGGAGGTTAGCAAACTCAGCAATATTCCATCATCCTTCTGGTTTAAAACTACCAGGCTCACACTGACCTCTCTCCATTCCTTTGTTCACCTCTCTGTACTCCTGGACTTCAAATTAGGTTTTCTTTTTTCCCCCCAAGTGTTATATTTATTTTTTAAAATTTTTTATTTTAAAGGTGTGGGGGTACCATTCAGGGTTAGTCAAACTAGGTTTTCCACATTCCATAAAGAGGGACCGTTGGCCCCAACACTCAGGGGCACCTTAATACTTTTCTTGTCCTTCCTTAGGTTCAGTATCTTTTCTTTTTGGTGCCTGAGTGTTCCTGTCAACCCGACTCCTGTCCCATTTATGGTGACAGGCCACGCAATTGATTCTCTGGTTTTGTCTAACGCAGGTGTAAGCAGGCAGTGTAATGCTGGTTCTAGAGACAGCATCCCAAACTTTTTGCTTTCTTCTGGTACTTTCTTCCTTGGCTCTGTGTTTTGGAGAGTTGAGATGGCCTGCTAATTAGTCTCTGAGTAAGGCTGGTGTAACAACAACACAAATGAAAACTTTTTGTTGTTAATAATTCCATTAAACTTCATTATCTGAAAATTCATAAAATAAATGTCAAGGACTTAAATACAAATGAAGATATTTATGATCTCAAATACAACATGTCCTAGACTAGCCCATGACCTTGTGACACATGTGCTCCCTCTCTAAGTCTCACTGCTGAGCCATGTGTGCTCTCCCCACCACTCTGCAGGCAGTCCCCTTCAGTTAGAGTCTATATATTCCTTGGCCCCCACCCCCTTTCCAGCCTCCCCCAGGTCAGTCCTTTCTTGCATGGACCTCCAACAGGTCTCTCCCCATCCTCTCTACACTGTAACCAGAGTGATGCTTCCAAGAACAAGCACCTAATTCTTTTCTGTTCATAACCCTTCAAAGGCTTTCATGATTCTTCGGATGAAGACTGCAATCCTCCCAGGGGCCTCTCGGCCCCGCCCCCACCCCTTGACCCTTCTTCTGCAGCACGGAGCTTCCTGTGGCCCTTCTCTGCCCTGGGCATACTCCCTCCCACCCGCTCACACCTGCGCCTTGCCCCTCCCACTCCTTAGCCTCCTTCTCTCCAGAGCCCAGTTATTGCCACCTCCGCCTGTGGACATTGGCTCAAAAGACATCTCCTTAAGGAGGTCTTTCCTAAACCCCCACAGCAGAGCAGCTTCCACTGTGCTCTCAGGAACCCTTTCTTCTTCTCCTTCGGAGCACTTACTATTGTGTATTTGAGTGATTAACGGACCAATCTCTCTCAAGCTGACTGTGACCTCCGAGTGCGTATGAATCGGCTGTCTTGCTCACCAGTGCCTTGCATACTGGCACACAGTGAATGCTTAATGAACATCTGAATTAATGCGTGAGAAATGGAAACTGTGTGGATCCACCTTTTACGCCTTAGAGAGAATTCAGTCACCGAGAAGGAGACAAACTAAACAGAGGCAGGCACACTCAATAGATTCAGCTGTGTCATGGTTGGAGCCAAGTATTCATAAAGCAGATGTTGTTACTCTTCCAGGTTACAGAAAACAGCTAATATATAATGATAACACTTAGTAAATCCAGGCCCTGCTCTAAGCACTTACCATAACCTTATGTAGTATTATCATTACTACACCTCACCATAACCTTATGTAGTATTATCATGACTACAGATTTATCAAATGATAATACCAAGGCACAGAGATGTTAGACACCTCCTCAGGGCTCACAGGGAAGCAATGGTGAAACCAACTCAAGAAATCCAGCCCCTGAGCCTGTGTTCTTAGTCCCTATACTATGTTGCCTCCTGATGAAAAAAATAGGCATCTTGAAAAACTAAGAGAGGAAAGCCAGACACACACAAAAAAAGTCAAAGAAATGGAAGGGAGGATAGGTCAGAAGTTACACTGTAATGGGAACACAGTTTCAGAAACATACGCATTTCCAAACTCTGTAATAGTAACACAGATGCTTCTTGACTTATGATGGGGCTATGTCCCAATAAATCCATTGTAATTTGAAAATATCTTTAAGTCAAAATGCACTTAATACAACTAACCTAAGGAGCACCATAGCTTCGCCTCGCCTACCTTAAATGTGCTTAGAACTTGTGTGTTAGCCTACAGTTGGGCAAAATCATCGAACAAAAAGGGTATTGTGCAATAAAGTATGACTATCTCATGTAATTTATTGAATACTGTACTGAGAGTAAGAAACAGGATGGTTATATGAGAACTTGAACTCCAGTTTCTGCTGAACGAGCATGACTTTCATATCAGCGTAGAGTTGAAAAATTTAAGTTAAACCATCGTAAGTCAGGAACTGTCGGTAACACAAAGTCCAACAAATATTTATTTTGTGCTTATGATGTGCCAGTTACTGTGCTAAGAGTTTTTTAGGCATTATCTCATTTAATTCGTGCAGCACTCCTGTCAAGTAGGCACTGTACTATTATTTCCACTTTACTAGGAGTAAGGCTTAGAAAGGCGAAAACTTGACAAAGGGCACATGACTGCTAGGTTACAGAACTAGGATCTGAAACCAGGTCTCCTCAACTCTAGAATCTGAGGCTTTACATATAAAATTGCCTCTGCTGAAACTGATGAGTGAAGTGTAAATACAAATCGCCAAAACTTACAAACGATGTCTAAAAGGGCCGCGTCATTGATGCTTGCACACTTTTCCTGAAAGAGAGAATAAATTGCTCAGTAACTGTGGTGATAGGTTTGGTCCTAACCTATTTAGAACACACTTTAGGATTGGTTAGAACAGGCTACAGGCACGCTCCCCGTGTTCACTGACAATCTGTCTCGTTCCATGTTCTATTAACCAACAGATTCTGCCTTTCTGATTCACATCTCAGTCCAGACACTCACAACCATTCTCCCACAATTTATTCCTCACTCAACACTTTTTTAACTTTTGGGTTAAAAAAAAAAAATCAACTTTACTGAGGTGTAATTATCAGACCTTAAACTGCACATATTAAAAGTATACAGTTTGATTTTTTTTTTTCGAGTTGGAGTCTCATTCTATCACCCAGGCTGGAGTGCAGTGGCATGCTCACGTGCACTGCTGCCTTGACCTACTTACTGTGCTCAGGTGATCCTTCCACCTCAGCCTTCTAAATAGCTGTAACTACAGGCATGGGCCGCCACGCCCAGCTAATTTTTTGATTTATTGTAGAGGTGAGGTCTCCCCATGTTGCCCAGGCTGTTCTTGAACGCCTGGGCTCAGGCAATCCTCTCGCCTTGGCCATCCAAAGTGCTGGGATTACAGACATGAACCACCATGCCCGGCCCCGTTGGATGTTTTGACTTATGCCCATGAAACCATCACCACAATTAAGACAGTGACCATATCCATCAGTGCCCCCCCATCAAACTTTCTCACTCCCCTTTTTTCTCCCCTCTTCCACCTTTTTTGGTCCCCACCTCTTTTCCTCCCAATCCCTGGTCCTGAGGCAACCACTGATCTGCTTTCTGTCACAAAGATCTGTCTGCATTCCTAGAGTTTTATATGAACATTAACATCAGTATATATTTTTTGTTTGGCTTCTTTTACTCAGCATAATTATTTTTTTATGCTATATTTTTGCAGCTATGAATAGTTCATTCATTTCTATTGCTGAGTAGCCGTCTATTGCATGGACACATCACAATTTATTTATCCATTTATCTGCTGATGGACATTTGGACTGTTGCCAGTTTGGGGCTATTGTGAATAGTCCATATTTTTGCAGCTATGAATAGTTCATTCATTTCTATTGCTGAGTAGCCGTCTATTGCATGGACACATCACAATTTATTTATCCATTTATCTGCTGATGGACATTTGGATTGTTTCCAGTTTGGGGCTATTGTGAATAATGTTGCTTATGAATATTAGCATACATGTCTGTGAGGTCACGTTTTCATTTCATCTTCAGTAAATTCCTGTAAGGGGAATGGCTGAATCACATAGGAGATATACATCTTAACCTTTTAAGAAATGTAGTCCTTTTTTTTTTTTGAGTCGAAGTCTCATTCTGTCGCCTAGGCTGGAGTTCAGTGGCATGCTCACGGCCACCACAGCCTTGACCTGCTGGGCTCAGGTGATACTTCCGTCTCAGCCTTCCAAGTAGCTGGAACTACAGACACGCGCCACCATGCCCAGTTACTTTTTTTTTTTTTTTTTTGATTTATTATAGAGACAAGGTCTCACCAAGTTGCATAGGCTGGTCTCAAACCCGTGAGCTCATGCAATCCTCTTGCCTCCACCTCCCCAAATGCTGGAATTATAGGCGTAAACCACCGTGCTTAGCATAACCTTTCTTACTAAACTGATTTCTAAGATGGCTGTACCTTTTAATATTCCTATCAGCTTTCTATAAGAGCACTAGTTTCTCCACATCTCAGTCTGATCAATATTTTAAGTGGTAGCTATCTTAATAAGTGTGTTGGGATATCTTATTGTGTGAATGTGTGTGTGTGTTTATAAGGTCTTGCTATACATATTGCCCAGGCTGGTCTTGAACTCTGGCCTCAAGAGAGTTCAAGAACTCCTACCTCAACCTCCCCAAGTGTTGAATTTGCAGGAATGAGCCACTGCACTTGGCCTCATTGTTTTTTTGTTTTGTTTTGTTTTTTGAGTCAGAGTCTCACTTTGTTGCCCAGGCTGGAGTGTAGTGGCACACTCACAGACACCGCAGCCTCGACCTGCTGGGCTCAGGCGATTCTTCTGCCTCAGCCTTCCAAGTAGCTGAAACCACAGGTGAGTGCCACCACACCTGCCTAATTTTTTGATTTATTGGAGATGAGGTCTTGCCATGTTGCCCAAGCTGGCCTTGAACCCCGGGACTCAGGCAATACTCTCACCTTGGCCTCCCAAAATGCTGGGATAACAGGCATGAGCCACTGTACCCGGCTCTCATTGTGGTTTTGTTGTGCATTTTTCTTTTTTTAAATAGTACTTTGAATTGCTGTTTTATTAACTGCATTTTTCTAATGACTAATAATTTAGAGCATCTTTTCATGTTTATCCACCACCCATATATCTTCTTTGAGGAAGTGTATGTTCAATCAAATATCTTGCTCATTTTTTTAGTTGAGATGTTTTCTTATTATTATCTATTAAGGATTTAAAAAAATATATTCTAGATACAAATTCTGAATTAGATAATTACTTAGAAATAGTTTACTAGTATGTGGCTTACCTTTTCATTCTTTTAATAGTAGCTTTCAAAGACACAAACATTCATTTTGATGAAGTGCCATTTATCAATTTTTTTAAAATTCTAAATATTGTGTTTCTGGTGTTGTAACTAACAAATATTTGCCTAGTCCAAGGTCATAAAAATTTCCTCCTGTTTTCTTTTTCTTTATTTTTTTTTGAGTTGGAGTCTCACTCTGTCGCCCGGACTGGAGTGCAGTGGCCGCTCCTGGCCACCGCAGCCTCAACCTGCTGGGTTCCAGCGATCATTCCGCCTCAGCCTTCCGAGTAGCCAGAATTACAGGCATGCGCTACCATGCCCGGCTGATTTTTGCATTTATTGTAGAGATGAGGTCTCGCTGCCCAGGCGGGTCTCGAACCCGCGGGCTCAGGCAATCCACTCACCTCAGCCTCCCAAAGGCGCGGGATTACAGGCTGAGCCACCGAGTCCGGCTCCTCCTGTTTTCTTTTACATGTTTTATAATTTTACATATATGCGGGTCTTGGATCCATTTTGAGTTAGTTTTTTATATGGTATTGAGGACAGATTGAACTTCATTGTTTTAGATATGGGTATGCAATTATTGCAACACCATTGGTTGAAAAGATTATCCTTCCTTCACAGAATTGTTCTTTGTAGCTTTGTAAAAAATTAGTCAACCATATAATCTGTGGGTCAACTTCTGGAGCCTATTTTATTACTTTGATTTATTTGTCTATCTGTATACCAACACCACCCTACTATGTATGGTTAGAGGGTGTCCCTCCAAAGGAATCCCCAATTCAACAGGGATCTTTAAGAGGTGATTAGACAGAGCCCTCACGAGTGTGCTAATGCCATGATCATGGGAGTGGGTTCCTGAGAAAAGGATGTTTTGCCTCTTCTGCCTGTTTGTACATGTTCTTGCTCTCTCTCCTCTCCTTCCCTCCCTTCCTTCCTCTGTCCCTTTCCCATAAATTACCTACTCTGGTATTCTGTTATAGCAATACAAAATGGACTAAGACACACATTGTACTGATAACTAGCTTTATAAGATATCTTGATTCGTGTAGTCTTAGTTCTCTAACTTTTATCTTTTTCAAACTTACTTTAACTATTGGCCTTTTAACATTTACTTATGAATTTCTGAATCAGCAGGTCAATTTCCACAAAAACCCTACCCCCACAATTTTTGATTGTGACTGCACCAAATCCATATGTCCGTCTGAGATCTTAGTAATATTAAGACTTCTGACCTATGAACGCAGTGCATCTCTCCATTTATTTAGGTCTTTAACTCCTCTCGGTAGTGGTTTATGGATTCAGTATATAGATTCTGTATATCTCGTCAGTTGTATCCCTAAGCATTTCATACTTTTTGATGCTGTCACAAAAGATATATGTACTTGAGACCTTGCTAAACCTATTGGTTCTAGTTCCTTTTTAATTGCAAATTCCACTAGAATTTTTACATAGGTGATCATGTTACCTGTGAATAAAAAGTTTTACTTCTTCCTTTCCAGTCTACATGACTTTTATCTAATTTTCCTGCTTGGTTGCACCAGCAAGAACTTCCAACCCAACACTGAATAGAAGTGGCGAGAATAGACATCCTTGTCTTAAGGTCTTGGTTTTTTTGAGTCAGAATCTCACTCTGTCACTCAGGCTAGAGTGCAGTGGCACGCTCACGGTCAACCACAGCCTCAACCTGCTGGACTCAGGTGATCCTTCTGCCTCAGCCTTCCAAGTAGCTGGAACTACAGACGTGCGCCACCATGCCCAGCTAATTTTTGATTTATTGTGCAGTTGAGGTCTCACCATGTTGCCCAGGTTGGTCTCTAACCCCTGGACTCAGGCAATCCTCTTGCCTTGGACTCCCAAAGTGCTGGGATTACAGGCTTGAGCTACTGTGCTCAGCTGCTAACTTTTTTTAAGGAGTGGATGTTGGATTTCATCAAATTCTTTTCCTGTGTCTACAGAGATGATCATATATATTTAAAAATTTATTGATATAGTGAATTTTTTTGAGAGAGAGTCTCACTCTATTGCTTTGGCTGGAGTATAGTGGCATGATCATAGTTCACTGCAACCTCAAACTCCTGGGCTAAAGCAATCCTCCTGCCTCACCCTCCCGAGTAGCTAGCACTACAGGTGCACACCACTACCATGTCTGGCTAGCTTTTACAATTTTTTGTAGAGATGGATGTCTCATTATGTTGCCCAGACTGGTCTCAAACTCCTGAGCTCAAGAGGTCTTCCCACCTTAACCTCCCCAAATGCCAGGATAATAGGTGTGAGCCACTGTAACTAGTCCATTATTAAATATAATGATTGCTTTTTAAATGTCAAACCAACCTTATATTCCTAAGATGAACTCCAATTTAGTCATGACATATTACTTTCTTAATATATTGGATTGGATTTGCTAAAATTTTACTGAGATTAATGGTATCAATATTCATAACAGTTATTGATGTGTGGTTTTCTTTCCTCGTAATGCTATTTCTCTGGTTTTGGTGTCAGGGGAATGCTGACCCCATGGAATGAGTTGGGAAGTACTCCCTTCTCTTTCCTTTTCTGGAAGTATGGAGAATTGAAAGTGGTCAGATTTATAATTTCTCTGCTCTACTAATTCAGCTACCCCTTGTTGTTTTCTAGCATCCTAAATTTTGTTGACCTGTGTTATCTGCCGTGGTCTTCTCTCTCTGGTCTTGCAGATTTGTGTCTCAAAAATAATCCCTTCATTGTTTATTTTATTGGGTTTTGGCAGAGTATAGCAAAAATTCCTGCTTAATCTGCCATATTTTACAGGAAAATATTAAACTATGATTAGAAATATAAAAAGCTAGACACACCTCTGTCCATGAGAAGACATCATTAAAAGAGTGAAAAGGCAAACAAAGATTGGGAGAAAATATTCACAATACACTGATCTGACAGATAAGTGATTTAGACTACATGAAGAATGATGATGACGCAATAAAAATATAATCCAATAGAAAAATGGGCAAATTATTAAACAGACAACACAAAAGAGAATATCCAATGACCAACAGGCACATGAAATAGGTCTTCACTTCATTTGTCATCAGGGAAATGCAAGTTAAAATTATGGTGAAAAACCCCTACATACTTACCCAAGGGCTAAAATGAGAAGGATAGAAAATATCAAACTACGGCAAGGATGCGGAGCTGAACTTTTTTTTTTTTTAAGAGCTAGGATCTCACTATGTTGCTCAGGCTGGAGTGCAGTGGCTGTTCACAGGCAGTATCCCACTACTGATCAGCATGGGAGTTCTGTTCTGCTGTGTCTCGGACCTCGGCTGGTTCACTCTACTTAGGCAACCTGGTGGTCCCTTGCTCCTGGGAAGTGACCATATTGATGCCAAACTTAGTGCAGACACCTGACTGGTATACAGCCTAGGACTCCAGGACCCAAGCAATCCTCCCACCTCCAGGCACACACTACCACACCCAATGAGCTAAACCTGCATACGTTGATGATGGGAGTGCAATGTTGTCTAATTCCTTATGCCAATGGTTTGGTGTTATCTACCAACGTTTAACATTATTGTATTCACTGACCCAGTGACTGCAGTCTATGCTGCTGCTGAGTAGAAACTGGGAAAAAGCCCTTGGAAAGCTCTTGGTGCTACCTACCAAAGCTGAATACAGGCAGATCCTGCACATCCTAGAAAACAGCAGCTCCATTCTCATGTATATGCCAAACAAAAGAGTACCTATGTTCACTAAAAGATAAGTAGCATCATGTTCATAATAGCCAAACACTTGGAACAACCAAAATGCTGATCAGCAGTAGAGTAGATAAGTGAATTGTATATTTACACAACAGAATTCAGCACTGAGAATGAACAACCTACTGCATGCAACAACGTGGCTGGAAATCACAACCATAAGGTTGAGTGAAAGAAGCCAGAGGCAAAAAAACCCCATAAGGTATGATTCAACTTATACAAAATACAAAAGCAGGCAAAATGAATCCATGCTGTTAGAAGTCAGTGTAGTTGGCACTCTTGAGGGTGTTAACAATAGTAAAGACAATGCTTCTAGAACTGGGCACTAGTCTCATAGGTGTGTTGTTTGTAAAAATACCTCGGTCCTGTTGATGTTTTAGGTCAGATCATTCTGTGTTGTTGGGGGGACTGTCTTAGGATGTGAAGGAGCACTCCTGGCCTCTACCCAGTAGAAGCTGATAGCACTCCACTCCTGCAGTTTTTTGTTTTGTTTGAGTCAGAATCTCACTCTGTTGCCCAGGCTGGAGTGCAGTGGCACGCTCATGGTCACCACAGCCTCGACCTGCTGGGCTCAGGTGATCCTTCCGCCTCAGCCTTCCAAGTAGCTAGAACCACAGACATGTGCCACCACGCCTGGCTAATTTTTTGATTTATTGTAGAGACGGAATCTCGCCAAGTTGCCCAGGCTGGTCTTGAACTCATGGGCTTGGGCAATCTTCTCACCTCGGCCTCCCAAAGTGCTGGGATTACAGGCATGAGCCACCACGCCCAGCAGCTCCTGTAGTTTTGACAACCAAAAAATGTATCCACACATTGCCAAATGTCCCATGGGGGGCCAAACTGCCCCAGTTGAGAACCATGGCTCTCTACATAGACATTTACATGTATGCATATTATGTAGTTTCTTTTGATGTACACAAAGATCTTGTTTATTCTTTTTAATGGCTGAAGAATATTTTGTTATTGGATGCATTATTATTTATCCAATCTCCTACATGGCTGTTTCTAATTTTTTGTTTTTATTTATTTATTTATTTTTTGAGTTGGAGTCTCACTCTGTTGCCCAGACTGGAGTGCAGTGGCCACTCCCGGCCACCGCAGCCTCAACCTGCTGGGCTCCGGCGATCCTTCCACCTCAGCCTTCCAAGTAGCTGGAATTACAGGCGCGGCTGTACACGCCTGGCTAATTTTTGATTTATTGTAGAGATGAGGTCTCGCCAAGTTGCCCAGGTGGGTCTCGAACCCACGGGCTCAGGCAATCCACTCATCTCAGCCTCCCAAAGGCGTGGGATTACAGGCTGAGCCACCGAGCCCAGCTCAATTTTTTGTTTTTAAAGCTATGCTACAGTTATAGCATTTTTAGTTATTCACATAATGAAATATATATCTATATTTATATTACTTATATATACTGTCTTATTTTTAATTTTTTCAGTATAAATTTCCAGAAGTGATACTGATAATTCAAAATGTTTATTTATTTAACAGTGAATGAGGGAAGGATATAACATAATTTGGGAATTCTTTGTACTATCCTTGAAAACAGTTTTTTTTTTGAGTTGGGGTCTCACTCTGTCACCTAGGCTGGAGTGCAGTGGCATGTTTACAGCTCACCGCAGCCTCAACCTCTTGGACTCAGGTGATCATTCTGCCTCAGTTTCCTGAGTAGTTGGGACTATAGGCATGTACCATGATGCCCAGCTAATTTTTTTGTAGAGAAAAGGTCTCACTATGTTGCCTAGACTGCTCTTGAACTCCTGGGCTCAAGTCTCTAAAAGTGCTAGGATTACAGATGTGAGTCACTGCACCAGGCTGAAAACATTTTAAAACAAAAAGCAAATAAATATATGAATACATGTGAAAGAGGTCTCTTTCTTCACAACTTTGCCAGCACACCTGAGTATTATTATATTTTCATCTTTGCCAATTGGATAGGTTAAAATTACGAGGTCCAACAATTAGATTTGTGAATCATCCTAGAAAAAGTGCTATATACCTCATTGCTGAATATCACTACGGTCACCTTCAAAGTACTCCCCTTGGGAAGGTGTGCAATGATGCCAGCACCTAGCCAACCCATCGAAGCAATTTTGGAACTCTTTTTCTGGAATGGCCACCAGAGCTGTCATGGTTATTTGTTGAGGTCTGACAATTAAGTTAGCAAATTGTCACCATACGCTTATGTTGGCAGCACTGTACAAGTAACTGTATTGGAACACTCTCCCTACTCACCTGAGCTGGCCCCCAATGACTTGACATTCAGGATATCAAGGGTAATACAACAATGGCTCTGATGGCCATTCCAGAAAGAGTTCCAAAATTGCTATGATAGGTGGACTAGGCACTGGAGCCGATGCATAGCTTCCCAAGGGTAGTACTTCGAAGGTGACCGCAGTGATATTCAGCAATGAGTATTCTGAAGGAGTCTGCATACTTGTCAGACCTCGAATACTGCTCATTAGTTTAACTTGTATTGTTTTTTTCCTCCAATGATATTCCTTCTTATTGATTTGTAAGCATTCTTCATAAGTCGAAAAAGGCAATTAAAAATTAGTTTCTTTCCTTTTCTTTTTTTGAGTTGGGGCCCCACTGTGTTGCCCAGGCTAGAGTGCAGTGGAACAATCATGGTTCACTGCAGCCTTGAACTCCTGGGCTCAGGCAATTCCACTTCAGCCTCCTAAGTAGCTGGGACTACAGACCCATGCTACCACACCTGGCTAATTTTTTAATTTTTTTTTGTAGAAATGAGGTCTTGCTATGCTCCTCCCAAATCCTCCCACCTGGCCTCCCAAAGTTAGGATTCAAGGCCTGAGCCACTGCGCCAGGCCAAAAATTAGTTTCTTTTCCACTGTAGTAGCACATAGCCCACATCACATCAAGAATGGCTTAGCATTTGCCTTAATCTTTTCTGGACTAAGAAACAGAAGAAAGAAAAACCCCAAGGGATGGCACCTTGTTATTGTTCAGGACTAAATCATTTTTAGCATTGTTACCTCACACAGCAGAAGCAAGTGCTGAATGACAGATTCCTTTCTCTGCCGAAAATTTATGGTCTGCAGCTGATTTTCAGGCAAAAAATTCCAGGCTTTTAGGACTGTCATCATTTCAGATATGGGAATTTTCAAGATGGTCCTCTTGATAAACTCAGCAACAGTCTCATCCATCTCCTTGGCACCTTAATAAAACAAGAATAAAATAGCACAACAAAGTATTGACCAAATACAAAATTTTTCAGCATCACATTTTTAGCGGGGATGTTGATTTGTAAGTCAAACATCCAAATATTTACCTTTTTTTCAGTCACTCTACAGTCAGAGAATTTCAGTATGAGCATTTAATTATTTTCTCATAAGTTGTATATTCAAGTATGTTTTAGGGTTTTAAAAAATTAGTGCTATCGCTTCTTTTTGGCTAGAGTATTCTAATCTTTTGATGACAGTGATATATAAATAATTCAGTCATTCACTAATTCATGGAACCAATTACTGACCACCTGTGCATGCCAGGAAATTTTCTAGGCACTGGGGATAGGTATATTGTTGGCAAAAAGGACAAAAACCCGTTCCAGTATGGAACAGCTATTCCAGTGAGGGGAGAGAGAGAGACAATAGTAAAAGCCACAAAATATATTGCAAGTGAGAAATGCTGTGGAGAAAATGGAATTGTGTCAGGCAGGTGGGAGTGAGGTGAGGGCTGGGGAAGGGGTTGGAGAGAGTAGGACTCACAGAGCGGTGACATGAAAGACAATCCTTGCAGGAGAGGGAGCCATGTGGTGGAAAAGCTTTCCAGGCAGAGGGAACAGCCAGTGCAAAAGACCTAAGGCGAGAGCCTGATGGGGCCTTTAAGGAACAGGAAGGGGGTGGCCTTCAGTAAGAGAAGAGGAGAGAGCGGAGGCCTGGTCAGAGCTCACAGAGGGCCCTGAGGACCACCACTGCGTGGGCTGTTGCTTCCACCCTGCAAAGTGATGAGCAGAGGCGGCACACGTGCTTGCTTAGGTTTCTAACAGGACCAACTTGGCAACTATGCCAAGAATGAAGCCCTGGAGGCAGATGAAGCTGTGACGAGGTCACTGAAGTAATGCTGGACCCATAAAAGGGGAAGAGGTCGAGTTCTGGACAGACATTTTTTTGAGTTGGAGTCTCACTGTTGCCCAGACTGGAGTGCAGTGGCACGCTCCCGGCCACTGCAGCCTTGACCTGCTGGGTTCTGGCGATCCTCCCACTCCGCCTTCCAAGTAGCTGGAACTACAGGTGCGTCCTACCACGCTCGGCTAATTTTTTGATTTAGTGTAGAGATAAAGTCTCGCCAAGTTGCCCAGGCGGGTCTCAAACCCGGGGGCTCAGGAAATCCACTTACCTTGGCCTCCCAAAGCACGAGATTACAGGCTGAGCCACTGAGCCCGGCCTGAACTTTTAAGAGGAGCTCACAGGGTTTCTGGAGGGATTAGATGTAGGGCACGAGACAAAATAAGGGACCAAAGATGAACCCAATGTTTTCCTCAGGCAACTCAAAAGATGAAGCTATTAGTAGCAGAGATGATCAAGACTGCAAGGGGACAGAAGAAAGAACTCTGTCATTCCATTTTGAACCTGTAAATTTTAAGATAACTGTAAGAGTCCAAGTGTACATACTGAGTCAGCGGTTGGATTTGAGTTCAGAGGACACATGAAGAGCTGGAGATGGAGAGACTGTAGTCTCTTTATCTTTTTTTTCTATTTTTTTAAAATTGGAGTCTCACTCTGTCACCCAGGCTGGAGTGCAGTGGCACGCTCATGGCCACTGCAGCCTTGACCTACTGGGCTTAGGTGATCCTTCTGCCTCAGCCTTCCAAGTAGCTGGAAGCACAGGCATGTGCCACGATGCCTGGCTAATTTTTTTGATTTATTGTAGAGGCGAAGTCTTGCCATGCTGCTCAAGCTGGTCTTGAATCCCTGAGCTCAGGCAATCCTCTCACCTCTGCCTCCCAAAGTGCTGGGATTACAGGCTTGAGCCACCATGCCCTGAGCTCTTTATCTTTTAATGAGCTGCCCGTGAACAAGGAGCTGTTAACTCCCTTTTCCTACCCATGTCTGAAGGTGAGGTTCTTCAATTGCTCAAAAGGGCTCGAGCTCCAAATCCCATGCGGCTCCCTCAGTAACAGACCAGACAGGGGCTGTACTCTCCAGGAGCGTGACGTAGCAGCTGTATGAAAGATGTGCCATAGAGAAGGGAGGTTTCGAACCCTTTTCTTAATTTCCTCAGGGCAGAAGTTGTGGGCCAAGGCGACGGCTGATACCAACCCTGCCACCTCATTTAGGGACACTGATGGGCATCTTTCTCATTCTCTCTTTAAATACAAAACAAAAAAGCAAACAGGATTTCTAAACAAAGATTAAACAGGTTATCTCTAAACTTTAACTTCCCTTAACAGTTTATCTTCTAGGAAGGTGTACACAGACCTTGGTGTCTATTTAAGACAAAAGGCAGAGGTCAGTCTGCCAATTTCATATGCTTCCATCATAACTCTGAAATTTCCAAGGAGAAACACAGGAGTATCCCCTATAAGAATCCTGGTTCTGGGCGGGCGCGTGGGCTCACACCTGTAATCCCAGCACTTTGGGAGGCGGAGGCGAGAAGATTGCCTGAGCTCAGAGGTTCGAGAAAAGCCCAAGGAACATGGTGAGACCTCAGCACTACAATAAATCAAAAAATTAGCTGGGCATGGTGGCACTCACCTGTAGTTTCAGCTGAGGAAGAAGGATCATCTGAGCCCAGCAGGTTGAGGCTACAGTGGTTGTGAGCATGCCACTGCACTCCAGCCTGGGCGACAGAGTGAGACTCCATCTCAAAAATAAATGAATAAATAAAAAGAATCCTGGCTGTGACTTGTTTCTATTTGTTGAACACTGAATATAATTTATTATCACTGTCTACTTCTGAAAAGATATGGTTAGTTGAGGTATTTAAAAAATATTCTGAAAATGACAGTAAGACAAAGATAAAGGATTAGGAGTTGTTTAGAAAGAGAAAAGTAGCTAAATTAAGAATCAGAATCAGAATCAGATTGTGAATGGAGTTTGACTTGTTTCCTCATTCGGAAACAGGACCATTCTGTCTTAAGGCCGGCTAAAATCTTCACTAGAGTCTACAAGGCCAAGTGGTCCACAAGGCCCTTGCTTCCTTCTCCTTGGCTTTCTGAGCTCCAGCCACACTGGCCTTTAGTCCTATGACACAGAATGAACTCTGGAGAAGGGCTACTGTACCTGCAGTTACCCCACTTTCAAGGTTCTTCCGTCACATACTCACTCTGGCAACTTGTGATTCAGGTCTCAGCTTAGATAGTTCTTCCTCAGAGACTTAATCTGACCACCCAGTCGAAAGTTATTTCCCCATTTTCCATTGCTAAGTGTCTTTACAGAATTATGTGAACTTATCTTTATTTATTGTCTCTACAACATTTTATTGAGCTACAGGGCGGGAACTGCTTGTTTTAGTTGTGGCTATGCCCCTAGAATCTAGAACAGTGTAACTCTGGTCAGTAGTAAGTCTAGTAAGCTCAAGAATCATCTAATAGGAACCTCATAAATACTTATGAAATGAAGGACTATATGCATGCAGAACAACATGCCTGAGGAGATAACCTGGGAAGGAGTAGGGGATCAACAGTTAGTGAAACTCAAACCAGCACTTCCTCTATTAAGAACTCTTGAGGGGGAATGCGGGCTGTTGAAATGAAGATTTCTGGGCTCTATCAAGTTAAACTGAAGGGAGGGTGCATGTAGGGCTTGAGAATTAGCTTGTGTGTGTGTGTGTGTGTGTGTGTGTGTCATAGTCTCACTCTGTCGCCCAGGCTGGAGTGCAGAGGCACGACCAGGAATACCGCAGCCTCCATCTCCTGGGCTCAGCTCTTTCTACCTCAGTCTCCCAGGTAGCTGGGACCACAGGCAAGCGTCACCACATCCGGTTAATTTTCTGATGTGTTGTAGAGACGGGGTCTCACCATGTGGCCCACCCAGGCGGGTCTTGAACTCCTGGGTTCAGACAATCCTCTCACCCCCGCCTCCCAAAACGCTGGGATTACAGGGCCACGCGAGAATTAGCATTTTTAAACAGCACATCAGATGACTAATCCTGGGTAAAGTTTGCAGAACGTCATTCTAAAGACATCTGGTAGAAAGACAAGAGCGCACTCAACCTCACTCATTAAGCTGAAAGCTCCTTTAATAAACGTTTCCCCTGTGACCACCTTTTAACTTTCTTTGTACTTCCCGAGGCCTTAGCATAATGGCTAACATACAGTAGGTGCTCAAGATAAGTGTGCTAAACGCATGACAAAAAAGATCCTCCCCTACTTTTTTTTTTGAGTCGGAGTCTCACTCTCTCCCAGGCTGGAGTGCAGTGGCATGCTCACGCCACCGCAGCCTCGACATGCTGGGCTCAGGCCATCCTTCTACCTTAGCCTCCCGAGTAGCTGGGACTGGGGGGCCCTGTTTTATTGCAGAGACGAGGTCTCGCCAAGTTGCCCAGGCTGGTCTCGAAACCCTAGGCTCAGACAGTCCTTCGGCCTCGGCCTCTCGAAGTGCCGGGATTACAAGATCCCTTTTACGTAACGTTCCTGTGGCTCTGCACCCGAGAAGAGCGGCAACAGGGAGCCTGAGGAGCAATGCGAGAGGCTGCACGGAAGAAGAGGAAGGGTACCAACTTGAGGTAACCACCAAAACAAAACCCCAACTCCGCCGGAACCGGCGGCACGCCACGTGACAACCCGGCCGGGGCCCCGGAGCCGACGCGCCGACGTAAGCCCCGGCCCCGCCCCCCCATGGGCGGATGTGACGTCACGGCCGGTCCAGCGTCCCCGCCCCCTCTCACCTCAGCTTCGGCCGTGGTTCCTGGCCCCCAGCCCGAGACCAAGCGCGAATCCTGCGCCTTAGGACGCGCGGCAGTCTTGACAGAGTCGCCCGAGCGGCCTGGAACCTGGCTTCCTCACGGTCCCCAGCACCCTCCGGGGCCCGATCCTCTGCCGCCAGGGGCTTTCCTTCCGGCCCGCATCTCCAGCCGTCTCAGTCCCCGGCAGCCGCTCCCGCTCGCCGCGCCTTCGAAGCCACCAATTGCAGCTCCCGCCACCTTTAAGCTCCGCCCACCGAGCTTAAACCTGGGACTGTATCTTGCGTGTAGGGGTCGGCGCTGTGCGGAGCGACAGAAGCGAGACTCGCTGAGCCCCCCCTTGACTCTTCTTAGTAGAGAAGATGGCTTACCACAGTCAGACTCGTTTGCGAAGTCTGGCTCGCTCGCTCAGCCTGTCGAGGCGCCGCCGTGCCTCAGTGGGCGC